TGGCTAAATATAAGAAAGCCCTTCAAAAGCAGTAAAACTTAAGCACAGACTTATGGGGGAAGTGAAGGAAAGCATTAGAAAAAAGTGGTATTAAGACAAAGCCAGCTAGAGTGGAGAACATGAGCTTAGCAGGAGCAGCGACGCTGCCTAACTGTATTTTGAAGAAAAAAAGATGCACGCTTGTGGCAGAATCCTTTTGTCAGTGAAATCTGTGTGCCTCCGTGCTGATTTCACTCCCAGTGGAGCTGCTTGGGCAGTGAGCAGAAATGGGCCCAGAGCCCTCTGAAGAGAAGGTGATTTCTCTTGCTCAGTAGACCTAATAGCCTCTTTCGGAGTACCGTTCCCTTGACGCTTGCGAATGCCATAAGCACTTGCCATCCCAGGAAGAGTTCACATCTCCCTGTTAACCACAAAGTGGTGGTAGGCACCAAAAGAATGGTAGCTGGGAGTGGCCCTTTTTCCCCCAAACCAAGGACACTACGCTGAAAGGCTTAAAAAAACGTAATTTCATGATCTTAGTCATATCTGAGAACTTTCTAGGTCATTCTGCCTGTGGGCAACATTCAGGTGGTCATCTGGTTTTCAGCAGAAACTTGCATGAATAACTTCTTCAGCTATGGTTTTCTTTCTTTATCGTTCGGCTTGTAAGTGGTCTGGAGGGTAGATGTACAGAAAAGTTTTCTTACTCCTGTGACTGCAGAATGTGCAGAGGAACTTCTTGCACGTTAGTACTTTCTATTCCATCCCAAGTACTAGCAACCTTCTAAAATGTCAGTAATGTGGAAGACAATATTGGTTACTGATGTTTTGATGAGAGTTTCAGAGCTCACATTTAATTGCATAATTTCTATAGCCTTGATGCCACAACAAATAGATATTCAAATATTAAATACGAAAATATTTAATCTACAGATCTACAACAAGTAGTGTTCCATATACTATATATTACTGATATTTGATACTCAACCATAATCATGGTGGTTATTTTACAGGCACGTTTTTTGTGAAGATGATACACGTTTTATTCACTTCTCAATAAGAAGACAGGAAGAGAACATGCTTTGTGGAGAATATACTGATTCTGTAAGATAAGAAGATAAAAGATACGAAAAAGTTGTGCAGAGAGTAAAAAGTAGCCTAGAAAAACAATCTTAGTCGGTATACATGGAAGATGTGGTGGATTTGCTATATGTTATATTTTATTTGCAACTAAACTTCAACACTAATCATTACATTCTGGGTGTCAAATTCCCACCTGCAATTTAAAGGAACTTCAATAATTTTCACTTCCTGCCTTTAACAGTTGTATGTTCTTGCTCAACTTACTGTGTTTCACTCTAGATGCAGTTTCACTGTATTTGTTATCTAAAATGATCAGTTTGGATAATGGATGTTTGTGGTGTATCTTTTTTGATAGAAGAGCAGACGGAGTCATTCCAGTCTTTTAAATTAAATGTTTTTGTTCATGGAACAGGTTTAGGGTAGGTAGGTCTTCATGAAGAAACAGGTATTTCTTGTGTTCCCTGTGGTGTATAATGTACAGGATTTATACCGTATACATTGTTCTACTGAAATATTGCCTAAAAATGTTTTTTGCCTTATCTATGAATCTGATGGAAGAAGAATTAAATTCTCTGGAATAGGGCTTTTTTTGCGAGTACAGCTGCAGTGAACATACACATTTGTTTGATATGAGAAAGCTGAAACGTGCCTGTCAAAAGTCTGAGTAAAAATAGTTTATAAGAAGGTTTTCAAATATTGCAGTTCATTGTGATTTCTTCTTTGAACTCTCACAGAGGTGAATTTGGTTCCATGGGAAGGAAAAACAAATAGACAATTCTCTTTTCTGTTAATCCCATTTGTTTGTTGAATATTAAAGCAAACCAGAAAGCTAGGATGATTGTGGTGAAATTTAATGTCCTTAATTTATGAATGACAGACTCTGAGAGCCAGAGAAAGAAGTCAGAATTGAGCTCCACTGCAGCAGTAATGCCATAAAAGGAATTTGGAAAGGCTGAAAATAAAATCCTAAATAGTATATATTATATACTATTATATACTATATTTTATATATATACTGGAGTCACCCAAAGAAGAAGTAACTCTGTGGAGAAAATGTTCTAAGATACGGAGGATTTCCTAATAGTTGTTCCTACTGCTGGTACCCTATTGAGTTGAGATGCCTTTTCATGCTTAAATAGCTTAATACGTGGAGAGATCAATTCAATCCGCAAGTCTTTGAACTTTTCTGAGCTTGAAAGCAGTTTGGCCCGCAAAGGGAAAGCATCCTGTTCAAATGCAGCTTTTTTCCAGCCTCCTGGTATTCCTTGAACTGGCATCTTTTTGGGGCCACATCACAGTCCACTCACAAAATATTCATCTTACAAGTCCGCATTCGCACCACTGTCATTCATTGCCTCACATCAATGATAACAGTGAGGGAATTTGTCAGTCTGGTGCAAGACAACATCTTAGAAGTGAGGAGCACTGACATTGCTCAGTTAGTGCCCCACTTGCTGATTAGTGTCCCAGGTTAGGAAGATTAGTTACTATGATTCTTAGATTATTACTATGTTGTACAGGAAGCAGTTCTTTGTTTGCAAAGAAGCTGTATCTTTTGCATAAAAGCAGCTGTAAAGATATCTAGAATGCAACCCCAAGCTTCCCTTCTTCTTGTTTTTGTTCAAGGATAGTTTTATGCAGGCAGCTAGGCAATGATGGATTTAAAAAGTAAATCTTCTTGGGGAGGCAGATTGAGCCTCACAATTAGGTGGCTTTCAGCCCCAAATGGATGTGATAACGGAGTGTGGGTTGTGTCTTCCCCTTCTGGTTGCAGAATCAGTGGATCTGGCTTCTTAAATGCTTATTTAAAGAAGATGGGAAGACTGGGCTAGATGGTTATAAATCAGCTACACCATCCTAAGTTGTTTTGGAAGTTCATGTACAAAAAGACCTAAAGGGCAAAATTTTCATGAATTACTTTGATACAGTGGCTACAATAGTTTGCTTTAACAAAAGTAATAATACAAAAGAATGAGAACTCATAACTCTACAATGCAGCTTCTCTTTGCTCTTACATACAAATCGGGTTATTAGGCTAGAAAGATAGTCTAAGTTCAGTTCTGACTAGTAATATCTCGAGCTGCATATTTTATAGGCCAGCATGAGAGGAACTGTTATTCAGTGTCCCTGTTTGAACAAACATTGCAAAGTTTGATTCCAGATGCAGCTGTAAATATTTTATTTAAGTGCAGATGTCTGTGCAGCCTGCATAATTTAACTATGTCAGATAATGAAGATTATATTTATGTGTTAAGATACATCTCCTTTTTTTCTGGACTTCCAGCAGTTATTTCTGATCTATGGCTTGTGTATTGTTGATTTGTACTTTCATTTTTTCTGCACTGTGTGTTTTACAATTGTCTGCTCCAGCTGTTTTCATTATGACTGGAAAGAAGCATGTATAATATTTGTAGGTGCATCCTGAAAGTTGGCTAGTTATTACTTTATTATATTATCCTTTTAGCTCTATGCTTTACCTGAAAGTCTAGCGCTTTAGTTGAGTTGCCCTAAAAATATATAGTTTTCCAAATAAAGTTACTCCTGTATCCATGCATTTTGATTTGGCAATTGTGTATTTTGCTTTGCAATAATTCTAACATGGCTGATAATTGTTTTTTACAATTTAAGTCATTGCAGACATTATTAATTATGTAAAATGCATACACTTTCATTTCATGAACTGTGGTAGGTTAAGAATTATATTTAACTGTGAAACTTCCTAAACGTGGCAGGTGGCACGCAGATGAGCAATACAGATACAGTCTACAAATGACAAGCTACTTGAGCTATAACTTGAGACTTGGTAAATGGAAGCGGGTCAGTTGTAGGGTTTATGGGATCATCTTTAGGCAGGAAGAGAAGAGTAGACATTAAATTAACATGTTTTTTCTGCTTTGTGCAATGAAACACTTTGGACTTCGCCTCACTGTTCCCACGACAACTACATAGTTTTAAGTCCTCGATGTTTGTATGCTGCCCTTTTAATAAAATTACATGCTTTGCAATAGCTAGGCTCAAAAGCTGCTTGTGCTATAGGAATAACAGCAGGCACCAAACAGCTCTGTACCTATACACGTAAATACGGAGTGATGTGTTCCCAGTGGCAGAATGATTAGAATGTCAAATTGCGGTTTGAATCCTGCAGCTGACTGCTTTCTGGGAGATGTCTGTGGATGTGTTAATGCATATGGACTTTCTTAAACAGTGTTATTTACTAACTACTGCAGAAATACAGTATTGGGAGACATGAGGTACAAAAACACAATTAAGAGGATAACAGTATGGATCTCCTCTAGCCTTTAAGCTGCATCTATCCTAAATATTTTGCCCTTGCTCAGAGACAGCCTACATGCTTGCAGCTCCAGCTTGTCTCTCAGCTGCAGTCAGTCCCGTAGAATATTGATCACCTTTCAGTTTTATTTATCCATGTTCTACCCAGCCAATATCTTTTCATCTCTAGGGGATTAAACCTTGGCAAAAGTAAGTTCTATTTACTTGGTAGTAGCATGGCTTTGACATTAACACTTTGGTTCTCTGAGCTGCTTTGAAGTTCCTTACCCTAGCTATCTTATTGCATAGTCTTTGTATCAATTCTTTCCCAGATCAGCTCTCTCTCTGGTTCCTCCTTACTCTAGTACAAGAAGACTTTGATATAAAATTGAAAATGGAGGTTGAGTTGTAGATAGATTATTCATTTAAAGCATCTCCCAGTTTTTCTCTAGGGGAGCTTAGCACAGTAAGCAGTTCAATAATGGTGACAAAAAAAACCCCAAACAAAACAACAAAAAAAATCACTGAATTCAAAGGGACAAGAAAGTTGTCCAGTCTGTGCAATTAAAAAGAAGGATGATGTTCTAGGCAACGTACTGTATGACAGTTACGAGTAACCTCTGTAGTAAATAATTACATTCAGTGTGTGGGTTTTTCTTTTCCAGAACACCAGCTCAGTAACTGTGCCAGAAACACTGTTGTTTGTTTCAACTCTTGATGGAAGTTTGCATGCTGTCAGCAAGAGGACGGGAGCAATCAAGTGGACTTTAAAAGAAGGTGAGTAGGAGGTGTCCTGATGCCCTCTACTCAGGAACTGTAGTAACAGTCTAATCGATAATTCAAACTGTTGTAGGGCCTGGTAAATACTTTCTTTTCTTTCTTATTTTTGCTCTTGCTCCAGAATTAAGCTACAATGTTTCTGGAGTCATGTTCATCTTCATATTTTCACTTGCAGATCTTTTCCAGGTTTATAGGGTTTTTTTGCCAGAATGTTTAAGCTGTAGTGGTATAATGTGTAGGTATCACGTTTTATGGGAATGAGCACGATATAAGCAGGCATAGAACAGAATAGATGTCAAATGAGAGTGTCAGCTGGTGGAACTGGTGGCAAAGGGTTTGCATGATTCTGTCTCTGGAATACCCTACGTTCACTGGTGCAGTGGATATCGTGCAAACCTCGGGTCTTTTTTTCTATAACAGACATTTAGGAACTGCACTTGTGTAAAGAAATTTAACATTGCTCAGTGACTGGAAGTGATTTTGTAATTTTAATTACTGAGCAGAGATAGCTCTTTCTGTCTTCATGAAAAATTCAATATTTAATACAGATTTGTTTTAGTGGGACTCTGATTATGTATGGTAGAAGTGATGGTAGCACTTTCTCTTCACTTTGGGAAATAAATTAGAAAGCAGGTCAAATGGAAAGGAGTCACAGTGATTGCATCATTCTGTCCTCTATTTTTAAACCTGATGTCAGTTTAGTAGGTGAGCTGAAATGGTAGGAAATGGATTGTGCGTATCTGATGTCTGCAGTACAAACCAGTTGTTCTTATTTGTGAAGCCATTCATATTTGAATGCAAATCTACCAGACAAAAAGTTAACTTCATAAATGAGCAAAGAATGCTTTTGTAGCTCCTCTTGGAGTAAAGAGAGGTGAACGAGTATTTTCTTGAAGGATCTTCGTTAATAGGTGTGATTACATTTTCTCCCCCATCTCTCCTCTTTAAATTTAGACATCTCCTTTCCCTGAACAGTCTTGAATAAAAAAAAAGTTATCAACCTCCTCCTTTATTGTTGCTACAGGCTACTGTGGTGTTAAGAGAAGCTTACTGGTTTTTGCTTGTCATTCAACTGACAGGAGCATACACTACATAGACCTATCCTAGAAGGATATTGTAACTGCCATTTGTTTGCAGCCAGACTTACTAAGTGGCAAGAGTTTTCATGAGGAAGAAATGAAGGCACTTTGGCAATGAAAAGGATCTTGGTCAGAGTGTATTGCTCAAGGAACTTCCCTTGTTTAAAAAAAAACTGTTGCAAAACTGTTGGTGGTACAGTAGAACTGCCAGACTGGATAATACAGTTTTATAGGACTTCTTTTTTTCTCTCTGTTGCTAACTATGTATTATTCTGCATCTTATGTACATGCGGTATGTTCAGTTGCTTTTTGCAGAGCACTTAAGTGCCCGTTAGTTTATTTCTGTGTAACAGAACAATGTACAAGGGTCAATGAAAAAAAAAATTAGTGGTAGTTACCATTGTTACAAGATGCTTCATGAGTTAACTTAATTAAGTGTACATGGAACAAGGGCCTGTACATATAAATTGGCAAATTAATTTGTAATTGGAGGGGTTTTATTTATTTTTGCAAAACTGTATTTGTTGGTGGTCACCCTGTGGGTGGGAAGCCCAACAAAAATGCGACAGTGTTGGAAATTAATAGCCCATGAAAGTCCTTACCATCTTGCTGTGCTAAATCCCTGGAGAGATTTAATAGTGCAGAATTCAGTATTAATATTAGTGTATAAACACAAGTTGTTGGGTGCACTCTATCTGTCAACAATATGCTTGTACTGTTATAGAGAATTACCCAGTGGGAAGTTGCATGCATTGCAAGCAGTGTTCTTGCAGGTACCATTTTACCCTGATTATCAGACAATGAACCATGTGTTGTAGTTCATGTGCTTTGAGAAGTTGTGGAGGTCACCTGAAGTGCTGCAGTGGCATTCATCAGGAAGAGAACATTTTATTACTGCACTTAAGCAGCAAGGTATTTAACAAAGGGCAATTCATATACGTTTTATTTTCACTGGGGAAAAAAACAAGGTGGTATTCATTATCAGGTGGTACTTAAACAAACATGAGAATCTTGCCATGTGTGGCTTGTTTTAATTTAGCACTGAAGCTTATCTTAGGTATGCAGAGTAAATGAGCCAGTGGTTATCACCACAATAACATGTTTGGGTTTCCTGCCTTCATGTAGTGCTGGCAAGAAAGGCAGTCTGAATAGTTGTGCTCCCCATAAAGCAGGCAAAAAAAATGGGTCAGTTAGTAATAGGACTGTCCAGTAGTTCCGAAATAAAGCTGTGTTCTCTGCAGTTATATGTAGCGAGATTGTGGACCTGTTTGTTGAGGGTGCTTAATACCTTCATTTCCTGTTGGCTTCGATGGGTCCTACTATCTGACAGCTCTCAGGATTTTTCAGTGGCCAGGTAACTGATGCTGCGCATTCCCTGGGCTTTGGAAAGCTGGAATGTGGTTGGAAAGTTTATAGAAAGAACCCACACTCTTCCTCCACCCAAATTTCTGAGAGGTACTTTTGCTCCTTCTGTGGCCCCACAAAAACACATTCTATTGAAAGGCACTAATTTGAAAGTGTATTGAAAGGGTGCGGCATGCATTTAAGATCAGAGACTAAATATGGCTCTTAGTGCCATCTCTGATGAATAAAAGGAGCTGTCAGTTCTAAGTGACAGTGTGATAGGCTCTCGTGTTTTCTGCACTTGCCACTAGCAAGATACTTAGTGACCATCCTCACTTAGGATGAAATTTCTTCCCCAAAATCGCTGAAAATTAAACTTATTCTGTCATTTCCTATAGCTCTCTTTGAAAGGTACAGGGGCGCAAGCACTGTAGGCTTGCTTTACATGCAGGTAAGAAAGTAGACAGTGATAGAGATGGTGGCGAGAAACCTGTTGGCAAGACGGAATCTGGAGAATGCTTTTCTCCTTAATGTCAGACATTATATTCATGATTCTGATTTCAGTGTGAGCTTTAAGAATGTGATTTTAAGACTGTCCTGTTCCCTCACATCTTTGTAAAAATCATCCTGTATGTCTTTGTTAACTCAAGAGCTTAGGTTAATGATCAGAATATTGAACTTTGAGATGTTAAGAATGTAGTGTTTGAAAGTGGACTCTTTTCTTCTGACAGTCACTTCTGTGTGTCCTTCTGTACTGTTCAAAGCGATCTCTTTCTTTTCGTTCACCAGCTCCGTAAAAGCTTTTCCGCCAAGAACTAATTCAAAGTAATTTGCCAGAAGAACATATAATATATAGGGATTTGGGTCCACATTTAGAGCCAGCAGAAATTTTATGATCTTCAGTTCTCTGTAGCAATAAAAAAAAAAGGTGGCCCACAATCAATTTAAAAGGTTTTGATTTCTGATACCTTACTCATAACCTATGGACTTCAGTGGACTAGTCATGATAAGACAAAGGTATAAAAACTGTACCTATTAATGGTATGCAATATGTAGATTCTAAAGGGCAAATATGAGATCTGTAGGTCCTGCTCTAATAACAGTGGTTATTCCCAGGCAAGAAGAAATATCTTTGTGAATAGCTGTAAATTAATAAGGATTGTCAAAACAAAACAACAGTACTCTTTTCAGCAAATTCCAGAGGATAGTTTGTTAGTATCTCTAACCTCATTTACTGTAATTGCAACAGCAGGCGAGGATGACATGATTTTAAATTGGCCTGTTAGCCCAAATCTTATGGTTGGGCCTCAGGTCAGGAAACCGTTTTTTCCAGCTCATTCCAGTGGGGCAGCAACTTACTCTGTTGTTGTTTCAGAATCTCCCACTTCTTCTTTTCAGCCACTGGTTTTGTATGTTCTACCTAAGGGCACATTACAGTGATGAAAATGTGCAACTCTCTCTTGTGCATTAAAAAAGACTTGTTTTTTGGTCAAAGGGCAAATTTTATCTTACCATGTGTTTGTGAAATATGGAGAAAAGTCAAATGCATTATATTTAGCATTATGGTTATAATTTCAAAAATTGTATATATGGCTTTTTTCCATATATGTATGCAAAACATGGTTTAGAATTATTTCAGAATAACCTGAAACGTGTCGTGTACTTCTGCCCACTCACAAGAAAATGATACAGGCACAAATATTTTCTGGCCATGATGCAACCGAAACTGTATTGGGACATCTGCCTGCTGCCAGGTCAAAATCTTAATTTCAGGGAAGTGTAACTGAGCCCAATAATTTACTAAATTACTGGACAGTCATGTTAACAGGTTTCTAATAACTGCTGTACTTGTGAATAAACTCTTAGAGTTCTAGAATAAATATTTATAATCTAGGATCAATGTCCTTTTAATTCTTTTTTTCTTGACGCAGTTATTTTACAAATCTTTTTATTAACTTGTAAAAATGAAGGCTTTTCAGTTCTTACAGGATATCGTTTTTGAAGTCCCACAATGACAAGGAGAGGTATCAGCAGTATTTTTAATGGCATTTCTATTCTACTGATGCCCTTGAACTCCTTGTGCTTGTGGGCATTAATATGCTTTGCTGAAATTAATTTAATAAAGCGTATCAGTGGCAATAGTGTGTGCATGTGCTTGTTTACACACGTGTATTACTGGATCAGAAAGCTAAAGCTTGTATTGAGTGTGTTCTCAAAGTGTGTATTGAGTTGTAGGATTTTAATATAGGAATCGTTAACATACTCTGCCTTAGTGGAGGCTGCAGTAAAAACAAATTGGAAACCCATGGAAGTATCTACAGAAAACTTGACCTTCCCTCCAGCACTGGAGGTATTTACAGGATGGTGTCCTGCTTCCTAACTTCCCCCCCCTAGTTTTTTTGACATCTTTGTTTTCTTAGCCTGGAAAGTGGAAAGCTTTTGGACAGGATATCATACCAAAAGCTTTATGTAGGACATTGCAAGAAGTTGGCTTTTCTTCTGCTACAGGGAATGGAAGCTTAAAGAGGCAGATGTATTTTTATCACAGATTTATCACATTTTCTCTGTAAAATT